ATGGGCTCACGGCCCTCAAGGCTTACTGACAAAATGGGGCGCAAGCAAAGGCGCAGGTAGAAAACGCCCAGAATAAGGTCGCTGATGAAGAGATTCGCTATCGCTCAGCAGGAAGGGTTAGACTCGCGAAAAGAGAACTCAGGAAGCTATGTGACGAAATACCGTGGCATTGACCTATCATACTACAGGAGAAGCCAGCTGAACTCTGTTTAATCGCTAAAAGTGAGAGCGCGAATTACCCAGATTTCCAGGCAGACAGTCGTTAAGTGATATGGCAAGGTACGCGATCGTGATGGCTTGAACAGCAAGGGAAAGCGAAGATCTACGCTGACGAACGTCGCAACGCCGCAATACTCTGGGCGTCTGATGTTGGTGATAAAGTTCTGCGTCAGGAAAGAGAAAACAATAAGTTTTCAACAAACATACGGATCCGCATCCCCCCACACTGTTGCATAAGCACAATTTGGTCAATAGTCTTGTAGTGGGAGGCCCCTCCGAATGTGCCCTCAATACTCTAGGAATACTACTCAATGTTTAGGAAATACGTGTCGATGCTAGTACTCCCATACAGGAGGATAATGTGTAGAGCGTACCGCGTCACCCATGCTACCAATGATTGAAAGCTGGAGCAATAAGTGGAGCGTCCAGACAGTGATGTTCACTGATGTGCTCAGAACTAATATATAGGATTCAGATGTTCGCGGCTTCATCTGAAGATACGTTCTCAGATGCCACAATCTTCTTTGACACCCAGTATCGCTAGTCTCACATGGCAAAAAGACAGTCACCTGCTTAAGTACTCTGACTATGTAATGGAGTAGAATTTCGTTTTCTGTTTGTGTTGGCGATACAATTTGTCTTGAGAGTAATTGTTCCACAGTTTGTTATAGGAATAGTTTGAATTTAGTTTGACTGTATGTAGATTGGCCAAAGGCGTTTATTGCTCCAGCGTTATTTGGTTCCTTTTAAAGAAAAAGAGAGATGCTTTTAATGTTCATTGTTGAATGCTATCGGTTTGGCGGGAAAGTAGCACTTTCCGGTGTGTTCTAGGGAATAAAGGCAGCCGGTTGAGTTTGACATATCTGCGTCCTCTAATTTATTGTAGTAAGAGTGACGTGAGGTAATAATATCTACTCTAATTCATGCATTAAGAGAGATACAACAGGTGTGTGACCGCCAGCCTTTGAATTATTTTTTCCTGAAGCCATGTTCCTCTTGACATATAGTCGAAACGTGTCCTCGGCTCTTTTTTAATTCTTTCTAAAGGTACAATCGTCAGGATGGTCAAGATTCATGCACTGGTCATTTGCACAGAAAATTCATGACAAATTTTTCTTTCTGTTTGTGTTGTCGAAAATTGTTTGAAAAATCTACTAAACTACTAATGACGCCATGGCCAAATTCAACACAGCATTCGCTAAACAAATACAATAATTAAAGTGTTTACTTTGCGATAGTCAAATATCTTAGTTTTGGTAGCTAAAAGCGTCCCGAATGTGGTGTGTTTTAAAAACAAGTTTGTCTGCATTATCACTGCTGCATGAGTTTCGCTGTATCAGTCTGTAGTGTAGTTAGTATGTTATGCTTTACTTTCTGTATTCGTTTACGAACACGTGATCTGTGACACTATTGTATATGCAACACGTTCACGTGAGAATAAAACCATACGGCGGTCTTTGAGCCTGTGTGATGAACAGAAACAGAGCGTGTTTACTTGAGTGTTCAGAGGAAGAGCCTACAACACTATATTCGTGGCGACGAGGAACTGAAAGGTCGGGTGAAAACAGATCAGTGGATATCCAGAGACAGGTTTTGACGGTTGAAACGAAGGAGCAAACGCACATCTATACGGGAAAAGCGGTGTCAAAGTGCATACCCAGTGCCAATTGCCAGTTGGAGCAGCGCAGCCGTTTGTTCTAACTTTTAGGAACTGAATTTGAAACTGAAACGTCTCAGGGTGATTGTGTTTTCCTGCCATATCAATCGAAGCCTACGTGTACAAGCCTACGTACGAGCACTGGTAATACAGAAAGCTGGGTGAGCTTACCTCAACGCTGATTCAATAGGGAACGGAGAATGACAACCGGCCTGCCACAATTTCCAGCGTTCGCCGTGCACGCGGACAGTGGCAACACTGGACGGAGATGGGCGAAATGGGTGGCAAAGTTGGAGAATCTGATGATAGCATTAAACATAACCACGCCAAAACGGAAAAGAGCTATGATGCTACACTATGCTGGTGACGAAGTGTATGAAGTTTTCATCACGCTGCCCGACACAGGGAGTGAAGATGACTTTGAGCTCGCCTGTAACAGTTTGACGAACTACTTCGACCCCAAGAGAGAAATATGGAGTATGAAGTCTACCTGTTCAGGAAGGAGAAACAAGCTGTTGGTGAGTCATTGGACACATACCACACACGGCTAAGACAACGAGCGATGACATGTGAGTTTGCAGACAGCGATCGAGAAATCAAAACACATATTGTTCAGTAACGTCAGTCATCACGGCTAAGACGACGTGCTCTACGGGAAACGGATTTTACACTGGCCAAACTGCTAGTATATGGCAGAACACTAGAACTGTCAGAAGCACAGGCAAGTGGTATTGAAGGTGACAATGATGGTAGGACCGTCAATTCGCTCTTCATTCAAAACCGTTTCATAAAAAACAGCAGGCTCGACAAAAGCCGACGGAAGCTACTGCACAGATACAGAAGCCCTCACGACTGGTGGGTAGGAAGGCTACGTGCCGTAATTGTGGTGCACTGTATCCACACCCCCAGAGTAAGCCATGTCCAGCCAGGGGCAAGTCTTGTAGAACATGTGGGAAGCTTAACCACTTCGCTGCAGTGTGTAGATCAAGACAGAGAAGAGAACAGTCAGCGTATCACGTCACAGAGAACAAGCATTCTACAGCGGAGATGGAAGCACATCAGTTGGATTCCTCGGACGATGAGTACACGTTTGGTGCGAGACAGCACGGGGACAAGCTACCAACGTGCGACGTAAAGATTGAGGGGAAAGTCGTAAAAATGACTGTTGACACAGGGGCATCAGTGAACATCATAGACAGCGAAACTTTCAACCATTTAAAGGGGCCCTCCCACGTGCCACTGCTGTCTCAACAACCGACGACTAAGGTCTACCCTTATGGCTCAAGAAACCCTTCGCCTACCATTGGAGTACTTATAACCAAGATACAGTATGACAAGAAGGTTGTGGAGACTAATATTCATGTTGTAGATGGCAGCACAGGTAACCTTTTAGGCTACAGAGTAGCTGAAGATCTAGGCATTATACATGTAGCACAGAGTGTGACATCTGCAGACGATAGCCGGGAAGTTTCCGAACATCTTCAGTGGTATGGGCAAAGCGGAAAACATACAGGTGAAGTTATACATCGACGAGAATGTAGAGCCAAAGCAACAACCACATTGACGTATTCCATTCCACGTAAGGAGAGCTGTCGAGAGGGAACTGGACAAACTCAAAGAAATGAACGTTATCGAGAAGGTTAGCGGTCAAACGCCATGGGTCAGCCCTATTGTGGTGGTACCAAAGAAGAACAATGAAGTTCGGATATGTGTGGACATGAGGAAAGCTAATGAAGCCGTAAAACGCACAAAACATGTCATGCCAACAATCGACGAGCTGATCACAGACTTGAATGGTGCATCAGTTTTTAGTGTGCTGGATTTAAGGTCGGCGTATCATCAACTGGAACTCCAACCTGAGAGTCGATACATTACGACATTCGCAACGCATGTTGGACTGTTCAGATACAAAAGGTTAATGTTCGGTATCAACGCCGCTTCGGAGATCTTCCAGAATGCACTATCAGGAGTGTTATCCGGTTTAAAGGGATGCAAAAACATGTCAGATGACATCATTGTGTATGGACAAACCCAAGAGTCGCACGACAAAAACCTGAAAGCGATACTAGAGCAACTTGAACAAGCCAACTTAAAGCTGAATAAGGACAAATGCAGGTTTGGACAGAAACAAGTTACTTTCTACGGACACATTTTCAGCAGGGACGGAATCGCTGCGGATCCTAGGAAGATATCTGGTATCGTAAATGCTAGTGTACCCCAGAGCGCAAGTAAAGTCAGATCACTACTAGGGATGGCACAATATGTATCCAGGTTTATACAAAAATTATTCTGATGTGACGTCTGCACTCCGTGAACTTACACATAAAGGTGCTCAATGGGAGTGGACATGTGTGCACCAGAAAGCACCTGATGACCTCAAGCATAAACTGACCAGCGTGTGCACAGAGGAGTATTTTGATCTAACCAAGCGTTCAGACGTGGTAGTCGACGCAAGTCCAGTAGGCGTAGCTGCCATATTATGCCAAGGCGGGAAAGTCGTTAGTTTCGCTAGCCGAGCACTATCTAGTGTTGAACAGCGATATTCACAAACAGAACGAGAAATGTTAGCAGTAGTATGGGGTGCTGAACACTTTCATCTCTATCTGTATGGAAGTGAATTCAATATTATAACAGACCACAAGCCGCTGATTGGGTTAGGTGAAATTGCCAGTCATAAGCAAGCATCTGCCAGGATTGACCGATGGAGGTTACGGTTGTTACCGTATAAGTATACTCTCAGCTGGGCCTCTGCTGTGACATCACAATGGCTCGAGTGCAGCGTCGCTCGATATTGATGAAGAAAATCGAACTAAATCGTGCTTCCAATTTCGACCTTCGATGTTAGACACCTCGATTGTCTTATTTTAGTGTTCTCACGAATCGTTCAGCTTCTCCATTTGCCTGTGCCACAACGGTGTAATACGTCGATGATGAAATCCCAAACTCTTTCTGCAAACGATAGAATTCTGCACCATTAAACGGTGGTCCGTTGTCGGTTTTCAACTGTGTCTGGTAACCTTGGCCTGGCAAATATGCTATCTAGTTTAGGCAATTGTGGCCTTCGATAATGTACTTGTCAGCCAGCTCTACCTCTGGAAACCTACTAATACTCATCTACGCACTACTAGCAAGTATTTCCGTCGCGAAATGGACCGGCAAAATACTGCCACTTCTTTCCATGGCCAATAGTGTTGTCATCTTGAGAGGTTCCTGGTCGCTTCTGCGTTGTTGGTGGTAGCAGCTTGGGCATGGCAAACACACTGCTTAATTCGGTCTTCCACCAAACGGTCCTATACCCGGAAACCAAACTTCTCGCGTAACAAGCTCTGGTCTTGACGAACACCTTGATGTCCGACGTGGGCCAATTCGATTGCTTGCTGACGTAACGAAACTGCAACACAATGCAGTGTGTTTTCTAGCACCAAAAAGCCATTGAAGACTGCTAGCCCATCCTTCACTGTCAGATATGGAACGAGTTCCTCATCTGCCCAGTGTCCATGTTCAATTGCAACGATTAGCCCTCTGTAGCACCGGATCTCTCAAGCATGTTCCTCTACGTCTCTTACAGTGAGTGCCTTGGGCACACTGTTTGTACACACGTAACACGTATATAGTCTTCGCCGCGTCTGTCGGCTGCTGTTGATCTGGATGCCTCTTCATGTAGTCAGCAGGATTTTCGTCCGTCTATCCAGGT